CCCCAAATTAACTGAGCTGGGGCATCTGTGCTGTGTAGATGGGTATATGTTTGTTTTCTTTTTTCCAGGGTTTTTTCAGCCTAGTGCTTAAGAACAAAATCCCCTTTGGAAACTGTCCAGCACCCAGGGGTTGTGTTTTGTGTTGCCAATTAAGATTTTCGATTGGAGGCTTGATTTGGAATCCTTGGGAAAAGCTTTGTTTCCATTAGTCAAAGGAGAAGAGGCAGAAAATCCGGGGAAGACATTGTAGGTCATACCTTGCTCAATGGGGAGGCTAAAGCTGACAATAGAATAACATTTCCACTGGCTCAGAACAGAGACAATCACTCATTCTTTCCACCCCTAAGTAGAGCTTTACAACAGGGTAGAGCTGTGAGAAGAGAGATCAAAAGAACAAAACTGGTACCAAAAGAGCATTAATTTAAAAATGCCCTGTTCCAATTGCAAGATGGGACAGTAAATATCTGTGGCTGACAAACAGCTGACAGTCCTTTGGAAAAATAGTTGCACTCATTAGAAATCCAGCATTTGTTAAAGCACCGAAGTCAGTGCCGGGTGCTTACGTGATTTAAATCTGCTTTGGGCTGTTGTTTTTTGAATTATTTCTAATGTATTTCTCTCACTGAGATCCACTGAAATGTCTGTGTTGAATTCATGTTTTGAGTCTGTTCTCTGTAGCAAGGTAGCCATGGGAGTGTTCTGCTGTTGAACAAAGGAAGAGGAGCTGGCACCTGTGCCTTGGTCAGAGAGCTGCAGTCCCCCCGCTCTGGGCTCAGGTAGTTGGCTTCGTATGATAGAAACATCTTACTTTTACTTGTCAAGTTCTCTTAGACCACCAGCCTTCTTAGGACGTGCCGTGGTTTTTGCCACAAAGATGTCGTCAGACGGTAAAAGATAAGAGCATTTCTAAATTACTGAAGTGCATGATCTCAGTCCATCACAATCAGCTCACACCTTGCAGGACAAAAGCCAAGTTAGTCCTGGTCCGTGTTGATTTGCCAGCGCTCAGCATACCGCCCAGTGTAGGCTGATTCCGAAGAAAAACTTGTAGAGTAGATTATTGTTTTAATCTAGCATTAATCACTCCTGCCATCATGACAGATGACATCATCCAAAAAAATCTCTGGCCACATGCACGAGCTGCCTGCCAGATTAGTATTTTCTTTTAATTGTGAAAGTTTGGGATCTTTTTTGCAAATTTTTGGAAAACCAATTCTTGACTCCAAATCACACGATGAAAGAAAGAGTCCTTGTAGCTCGTACGCTTAGAGTTACCTAGCCATCAGAAAAGAGGTGGCCACCTTTGTTTTTCTCTGCTGAGAGATGTTGTTATGTCTAAAATTTAGTTCAAAGTGGCAAAAACCATTGAATGCAAATGTTGTGTAATGTCAAGGACCATTGTTTTCAGAACTTAGAAGGTTTTTGGTTTAGGAGTTGGGGAACAGAAGAGAAAGGAAATGATGGCATTGATGCATTTCTACACCAAAAATACTTGGCTTGCCTTAAGCACTAAAAAATGTGCTGTGTTATTATGCAGTCTCTCACAAGCTAGTGCTCCTACCAGTTTCAAAATAAAGAGCATGATTTTTTACTTGCTGTCCAGAGGGAATGTAACTTCTTTGATACTATTCCCCACTGGCTGTGTAAGGAGGCGTCTCGCAGTGAGTGTGCAGTATCGCTCCTTCCGGCTGCTCTCGTTCCTTCCAATGTCTTGTCTCCAAGCTCTCTTTTCTGTCCTTTCCTCTGAGTCCTGGTAAATCCTCTTTAATTCACGCGTGCTCTCGGCTCTCCAAAGGACATGTCTTGTTTTTTCTGCGTAGACAATAGTAGATTATTTTTTTAAAAACAGCCTACTGTTTTAATGCAAGTATGCGAATGGTAAATTTCTTGAAAGAGCTGTGATGGATTATATCCAGGTCTGTATATGCAAACCAAGATGTTTCCCAGTGTTAATGTGTCGGGGGTTCTGCAGTGTGCTGACGCGTACCCAGGTATTTCCCACGCCTTTATTATCACCCTCACGTCTATTCTGCTTTGTTTCTGTGCTGCTATGTGTATATTAAACAGGTCTGTGAGTCTTCTCAATGCATGCAGACCGATCAAGTCAACGCCCCGGTGAGGGTACTTGGATTTGCTATGCCACCCTCGCTGCTGCTTCAGTAGTTTTACCTCCCTTTTAGTACAGCAGCTGAGGTGGGGACGGGTCTTATCTGATGCCTGCCATTGATCAAGTCTTAAATCTGATAACCGTATTAATTATTGACCTTCATTGGATTTTTAGATGTTCAGCATCTCTGTTCAATCGGTCCCCAAAATGCATACACTTCGGTGTTTCACAAATTGCTGGTGATCTTAACTGGGAGGTCCAGTAGAAAGTACAAGGGGTGCAGTAAGTTCAGGCACGTTGCTTTCTACCCCTGTAGTTGTTACCTCATCTGTAAAATGGGGGGATGGTGATGCTTTTGCAGGGGATTTGAGGTTCAAATGAAATGATCCGTGTAACATGCAGAGCTCTGAACACATGTGACCTGTCGCTGCCCACGCTTCCGTCGTGAATGTCCCCTCTTCACCCTTCCAGCCGCCAGGGTGAGTGTTTTATTAGGAAATTGGTGAACGTTTGCCATCATTGATTAATAGTCATGGCTTTTCAGTTCTTTAAGGGTGTTTTATACAAGCTTTAAACAGCTGTGAACTTGCCCTGAACTCCCACAGGGACACCGTGGAGGTGACGCTCTGGGCTGCCAGCTGCTGGGACAGTGCTCCTCAGAGCTTTGTACCAGATGCTTGGCAGAGGGAGATCCCGCTACATGAAATTAGCTTGGTGTTTCTCATCACTGGAAGATCTCGAACTTCAAGCACAAAGGATTCTGTAATGTTTAGACTTTACTCCTAAATTTCAGAAATGTATTGCTCTCCAAAGATCTATAATTTCCTTGTCCTCAAATTAAGAGTTCTAAAAATTCACATTTTGACCTGACGGCACGCCCGTGCAGATCCCAGCTGTGAGATGCGGGTGCTGTCAATTCAGAGCTTCCTCGGTTACCAGAAAGGCTCTGCGGACAGTGTCTTCACACCGTGATGAGCGTGGTCATTTTATTTAGGTTTGCTCGCTCAGGGAGCGAGGTGGTTTTCAAAAATTGATACACTGTACAGTTTTTAAAAACATGCTAAGATATTATTTACTGAAGGTTGGCAGTTATGGAGGAAAAAGGACTGAAAGTTGGCCCAAAGGAAGGCAGAGATGAGGAGAAGAAAGAGACGGGAGGGAAGACAGCAGAGGCTCCCAGGGGCGAGGCTCTCGCAAGTTCAGTTACTTAATTGTGAGAAAGGAGGGCTTTGGAATTCAGCCCAGGGGCAGTAGTCTTGCTGTCCGGAGTCCTCAGCTCCTGTGTCCCCCTGATTGAAATTCGGTTCTGTCTCCACTGTCCCCTGGTGCTGTGCTCACTGGAGCCCCTGAGGCTACACCATCGCCCACGCCAGCCCCCCGTCCCTGCAGCCCTAACAGCCTGCAGTCCTCCCCGGGTTCATCTCTCCCCAGCCTCCCCAGGTTTCTCTGTCCCCTCAGATTCTGGCTGCAGTTCCTCAACTCACATCTTACCAAGTGACTCTCTCCCTGAGGGTTCTCTTTACTCTCATCTACTCCTTCCTCAGGTGGAGATTTCCTCCATGTCTGAGGTTCAGTGACCCACCCCCCCATCCCCAGCTGACTGTACTGGTCCCCAGCCACCTCCCAGGTTGCAGAATTGCATCACCTCCCACCCGCACCTTGACTCTGTGCACCTGGACCAGACCTCCCCCCGCAGCCCCTGCCCTGGAGAGGCACCCCCCACTCACCCCCTCCTTTCTTTCTCACAGAGCAGATGCCAAACGATAGCATCTCATGCCTCTTCCTGCCACCAGGGTCAGTGTGACCCTCCTATTTCTTGTTTCATTTATTTCATCCTTTCATTTAGTAAATATTTATCCATCGTCTATACTAGGCTCTGCAAAGTATACAAGAATGATTAGAACCTCAAGAAACTTATGGCCTTAATGATGAAGATTTAAAACAAAACAAAACAAAAACACTGCACAGGGATACCCATAATACAGTTGCGTGCTCTGAGAGCAAGCCACCAACCTGCAGCCCCTGCCCTGGCTCCTTGTCCCCTCATGCCTGTGGATTACCTGTGCGTGGTATCCCTTGTCCTAGGACAGGCTCTTCCCTGCTGTGTAATTACAACACATTCAAGCCGTTTGTTCTCTCCCTCCCAGAAATTCACAACCTTCAGGAAGCCTTCCCCAGATGTCCCTCACTAGGCTTCCCACCAGTCTAGTCCCTTGGGTTATACAGAAGGAAGTCAGCACTTGTAGGGGCGGCAGCTCCAAACAAAGGCATCCTGCAGAGGGTGGAATGAGTCTGTCACTACCTGTGGCATCTTACTGTGTCTGTCCCATGTGTGCCTTTAGACCAGAGTTCTTCGGTATCAGCACTGTTGACGTTTGGGGCTGGATCAGGCTTCAGCGTGGGGCTGTCCTGTGCACTACTGGGCATTTAGCAGCACTCTGGCCTCTACCCATTAGACGCCAGTAGCCATCCTCTCCCCCGACCCCGCTGTGACAAGCAAAAATGGTCCCAGACGGTGCCAGGTGTCCTGGGGGGCGGGGTCACCATGGGTTGAGCACCATTTGTCTAGACTGAAGCCTGCACGAGGGTGGGGTCACCTCCCGCCAAGCCCTGGAGAGCACGCACGGTGCTGTTGGGGATCTTACCTTTCAGCTTCCTCTGTGGCTGATCTGCATTCATTGCCGCAGGCACGAAGGCAGTGAGTAGAGGCATGGATGTCGGGTGACAATTCTGAAGTTTTTTTTTTTTATCTCTGTAGTTAGGAATTTAGAACCAGCCTACCTTTTAAATATCCACATGGAAATCTGATGTCCTCTGTGTATATTTCTACACTCAGCAACAGAATAAGCTCGCTCGGTGAAGGACTTCATGGTCCTTTTCATTGCACTTCTAGTACCATCAAGAGGACCAGCTCTTCCGAGCGGGTCTCTCCTGGCGGCCGAAGGGAAAGCTAC